TGAGAAATTTTGATAGCAAAAGAGTCTCCAGTGGATCGAGTCACGTCTTTGTTAAAATAGTGAATATTCTTTTTTGTATAGTCTCTAATCTATACGTCGAGTTATCTTTTGAGTTCTTGGTGGTCGAAAATTGATGCAAGTTTTTGAAGTATCAAATGATAGAAATTAAAAACATCACGAAATGCTTTGATTTGGTACTCGATAGTGAAAATGTTATATACGTCGCATCTTGTAACCTCTGTATATATACGAAGTGGCTAGGGAAGCTTCAACCCAACTTCACGATGATTATGAGGTACTGTCTTGATGATAAGAAGTTGCTTTGCTTGCTTTCGATTGGGTTCTCACCTATATCAAACACACCGAGTTTGCTTCATGATGATAATGAGGCACTGTCTCCTTTGCGTATCATCAAGGCTTACACATGATACTTTCACCTGAAAGAGAGTGTTTCAAGTAAGGTCTGTGTTATAAGGGTCTGTGTCCCAGGCAGTTAGTTCCCTCTTCCTCTGCCTCACTTGGTGATATATCATCAATAAGTAGTTACCGCAAGTGCACAACCTCCATCCTTCAAACTTCAATGAGAGTTTGAAATACAAATGACATTCCCTACAATCTCAAATTCTTAATAACCATCTAAGTAATCAAGGTCATCAAGCCAAAGGCCATAACCAGTTTCTCATTTGGTATCAGAGAATCCCTTCACAAAATCTCCAGGCAACCTAATCCAAGCCAGCAATCAAGATAATAGCTAATTATGATGAGAGACGAGTGATCCTCTCAATCATTGATTCAAAGACCTAATAGTCAGTCTATTTGGCTAATTAAGAAATCCATACATAATTCCAGTACAATAACAATCTAACCATATACTAACATACTCTTAAGAATATTCGGATTCCATATAGTCAAAGCATGGTGTCACATACTCTAAGAATCACTCTCCACCTTCACCTTCCATTTCCAGAGTAGAGCCGCTTGAATCAATCACTATCACTTTCCTCATCCTCTTCCGCTGCTATGTTTCCAAAACACACAAAACTTTTGAGTTATACAACAAAGAGACAACAAAACATGACATACGAATGAGCAAACCACACTTAAATAAACGAGTAGTGACCTGGTAATGGTTCGTCAAACTTGTTGCAATGCATAACGTAGACTGCTTCTCCCATCGGATCCACGCTCGAATACTGGTGGAGTATCCATCTGTTGTCTTCCCTGGGGAAAGGCTTAAGAACACAATGCCTCACTTTACCAACCACTTTGCTACCCAGTTGAAATCCAAAGTTGCAGGAATTTGGGACGATCCGATCAACAGCCACTGGCGATAATCTTCCCATGCAGCAAACTCAAGATTGACCTTACCTGCGATCAATGAGACTCTTAACAATTATCTATATATATAAGAAGAGATTATAACATGATATGGAAACTCAAAAGTGATGATAGATTCTATACTCGACTGCCATGGAGGGATCTGAAACACATCTTGCGAGGGTCGAGGAATTCCGCACTCCTTTCCAGCGTTCATCAGGTTGAAAATCTTTCCAGCAATGAGGGCAAATTCAGTAGTCGAAGAGTAGACATTTGACATCAAGAACGGGAGGGGCGATTGTGAATCCGAAGCAGCCATCTGTTGGCAGGACACATCGCAATACTCTAACGGTCTTAGAGGGACTCGTCTACAGTCCCACCGTACACACTGATCTTTGTGCCTGCTAGTGATGGTGACACTCCGAGCATTGGGATCCATGATTCTTCCTACATGAAACGCGATTCTTAATCTCAATACCAATAGGATCACAATAATGAATAATATAGCAAAGAAGAAATCAATGCCTCACAATAATCACGAGAGTGGTTAAACAAAAATGAGCAAATAATCAGAGTGAAATTCCAAAACTGAAAACAGTTCATAAAACAGAGAGCAAATAAGGGAACATCTAAGCATCATCATCCACGGATCATTATTGAAGATTGCGATAGCTAAGCTAGTTGAACGATCAGAAGAAACAGATCCTTAAGTATCATCGTCTCCACAGATGATGATTCGAAACCCTAAGATGAACAAGGAAGAGAAGAATCGGAGAAAACCTAAGATTCGAAACTTGTAATTGAAGAATGGAGAGAAACCCTAACCTTTCTTCTTCAGTAAAGACAATGGTTTCAGTTTTAGACTATAAGAGAGGTTTTTTTTGTTTGTTCATATAATCACACCATCTCTCTTACGTCTACAGAATGTGACTCTGGAGTACAGGAGACTCCTTGGTTCGAAAACACAACTTGTGGGAACAATGCACCTTCTCAAGTGGCTGATGGTTAGACCAAGAAGGTATACGAGGCCAAGGATTTGGAGAAAGCATGGGAGAATCCTAAGCAGTTGGAGGGTTTCATCGACTTTGACGATGTTTAATCCAG